GGCGGGTGATGAAAATACGCTAAAATTGATTGCAGCGATGGTTGCAAATTCTGTGAATATGCTAAATGCCAATGCATTGTATGCTTCAAATTGTATGATACGTGAATTATACCTCAATAAAGCTATTTTCAAAAAAAGAAAGATGACATTTTAATATTAACATAATTAATATTTTAATCTCATCTCTGGTGATGAGATTTATAAGTATCTACTTTTTTTGTTCGATTTTCCACAAAGGGAAGTATTACCATGATTTATTATTTTTTTATTTTATTGAGGTCATATTTGCTTATAACATTGTGTGCATTTCAGCTGTACATTATTATATTTCAGATTCTGTGTAGACTGCATCGTGCTCACCACATACTGTCTAATTTTTATCCATCACCATATATATGTGGTCCTTTACCCCTTTTGCCCTCCCCCCACCCCCTTCCCCTCTGGTACCCATTAATCTGTTCTCTTTGTCCATGTGTTTATCTTCCACATATGAGTGAAATCATATGCTGTTTGTCTTTCTCTGTCTGGCTGATTTTGCTTAACTTAATACCCTCAAGGTTTATCCACATCACAAATGGCACAATTTTGTCATTTTTTATGGCTGAGTAGTATTCCATTGTATCTATATACCACATCTTCTCTATCCACTCATCCGCTGATGGGCACTTCGGTTGCCTCCACATCTTGGCTTTTGTGAATAATCCTGTGATGAACGTAGGGGTACACAGATCTCTTTGAATTGTTGATTACATTTTCTTTAGACAAATACCCAGTAGTGGGATAGCTGGATCATATGGTATTTCTATGTTATAAGCAGTTAAGAAGAAAGTTTTTTTTTTTAATTCTGTTAAAACAAATGCCAGCCGAATTCTCCTTTTCTGCAAAGCTGATAAACACACCTCTGCAGGAGTCACATACTTCCTAATGACAACGCCCCGGCCAGGCTGCTCTGTGTCCAGTGTTCTCCATATACGTTATCTCGTGTGACAGTCACCTCTTGGGGTTGTAAACAAGGCAAAGGACTGTTTTCTTCCTGAATGTATTTATGTCCTGCTTCCTCCCTAAAAGGTTTTGAGATGATTTACAACAAAATATAGTTAATAAAAATAGAAAAAAGAAAACCAAGTCTGAAGAGATATGAAGAATTTAGGTATGCTAACCAGAAAAGTCAATAAGTTGCTATAAATGAAATTTAAATTGAACTCTGAGGTTCCTGGCAGACGAGGAAAAAGAGAAAGTTAGGGAGGAAGCAGACCATTTCCCCAAGGGAAGCAACATTTTTCCTGGCGTTATTTGCTGGATAACATTTCTTACATAAGGATTTATTTTTGTAAAAAGATTTAATGGAGTTTGACCCAAACATTTTTACAGAACAAGCTGAAGTACGTTTAATGTAGCTATTTCCTAGAGCCACCTTGGTTTTGAAAGCCAAAGACATACCTCCCTGGCAAATTCAAGCAAAATCCAAGATCATAGGATCCAAGTTTATAATCTGATCTAATCCAGTGGTTTTCCTATTTTTAAACTGCCACCTATGATAAGAAATACAATTTACATTGCTTTTACAGTACATAAACACACACACTTGAAACAACAAATTCACCAATTAACATTTCCCACGCTCTAAGCAATACATGCTGATATTTCCTGTCTCTATTCTATTTAAAAATGCTGTGGCAACTCCCTATTGGTTTCACCACCCAGTGGGGAAAACTGCTCTAACACGATTCAAAAATTGTATGTCACTGATCATTACTGAACACCCAACGTGTGTGAGGCATGGGACGAAGTGTGCTACCTGCATTGTCTCATATGGGTCTCTCTGGGATCCAGCGAGGGGAGCACTTCTATGATTTCCATTGTACAGACAAAGAAACTGAATCACAGAGGGCTTAAGTAACCGCTCAAGGTCACACAGCCAGTATGAATTTGGAGGTGAGCATTAGCTCGTGTCTTTTTAACTCCACTAACCTCGGCTCTCAGTTGGGCTTTTAGAGGGGTGTTCATTTCATTTTCCAGTTCAAAGATGGAAGATCAGGAAGGGTAAGTGCCTTTCCTCAAAGACACACAGCTAGGAGGCTTCCAAGCAAGGTTTGAATGTCGGTCTTGGGACTCCAGGCCCAGGACTATTGCTGCTGCTGTTAGCTGCTCACTCTGGCCGGCTTCAAGTGTCACTTTGAAACTTCTTAAATGACAAGCCTCTAGATGCCACAAAAAGCACAGGAGGGCAACTTCAATGCACATGGCAACATGGGACATATGCAAAAGTCTCAGTCTCCTCCGCCCCCTCCTCCTCCTAGAGGACGCAATAAGGCACTCTATAAAAGCTTCCTCCACACCAAAGTGTTAGCAGGGGCGGCACGGTGGGCGGCTTTCTTTGATCCCTTGATACTTCTCTGTATTTTCATGACAAGAATCTATTACTTTGGTAAGGGGACAATTTTTAAATTGTTTTAAAAGGAATCAGTCTGTCCTTCTTAACATCGAACCTCCATAGCTCTATACCTTTAACATTTTCCATGTCCTGGACTAATGGGAGTCGAATCTGAAAATTGGCAAGACACTTTAGCTGCTCAGATCCTAAATTTAGATCCTGAGGGTGAATACCGAGCGTCAACAGGGCTGGACCGGTGCTCACAGGGAGCAGGCAATTAGCTGGGCGGGACCACTGCCCTTTAAAGTGGGCTGACAGGCGTAGGGGAACACTGCGAGCCCTCGGCAATTTAATCAGACGCTGGTCCTAATGGATTTCGTATGAAACCAAACAGATTTCTCTGAGCACTTTAACTCCATAAATAACATCTCTGCATTGCGACATAATGAGGTAGGGAAGAGGAAGGACTCTGGAATCAAGCTGCCTGGTCCTGCTACTTCCTTGCTGTGGGGCCCTAGGTACATTGCCCAACCTCTCTGTGCCTCAATTTCTTCATCTATGAAATGGAGACCATGGTAGTACCTAATTCAAGGGGCTGCTGTGAAGACTGAGTTACTGCCAAGGAAGTGCTTGCCTCAGAGTAAGCACACAGTGAATGTGAACAATCCTTGTTATTATTTTAGAAAATATGGATAATCAAAAAAGAAAAAGAATCACCTGCATTTCTATTTTAGAAAAAAACAAAACAGGCGGAAATCAATCAACCCATCAATTGCCTGCATTACTACCACTTAGAACTAATCACTAGCAGCATTTCAGGGTTATATTCTAGTGGACTCATTGTCTTTGTCCATTTATATATTACGTGTAAGCGAATATTTTCCCTTTATTTATTTGTTTGTTTATTTGTTTCCTTGGAAACAGATCTGCTTACTCTAGATTGACCTTTTCCGTGGAGTATTTACCAAGCTAGGTAATTTGGGAAGGGGTTATGTAACATAGATTCACTCATTCAATCAACAAATATTTCTGGAGCATCAACCACTTGCTGGGCACTCTTCTGGGTGCTGGGGATGGAGCAGTGAACAAAACAGCCAGAAAAAGTCCCTGCTGTCATAGAACTTACATAGTGTGGCCACACAGGCAAGAAACACAATAAATCATTAAAATCCTGGGTGATTCAAAAGAATTAAACACCTAAAAAAATTATTTATCAGTGACTAAGTTAAATGTATCATGTAGTCAAAGTCAATTTGTAAAGGCACTAACATAGTAACTACAACGTCTATGCAGCCCCGTGTAACATATGCGGGCAACGTGGCACCCAGCCATCCTGGAATTGGCTTCATCCCAGATCCTGCATCACAGCTGTGGGTGAAGGGCCACCACGCCACGTTTCTTTATTTCTCCAAGGCTGCAAAGAAGAGGCGGCACCATCACCAAGTTCTTGGTCTACGCCCACCAGATGTAGCACGCTGCACTAAGAGTGTGCAAGCGGCAGTTTTTAAAATCATCCTGTAGATAACATGTCAGATGGGGACAAGCAGGGCAGAGGACTAGGGGAGCCAGGACGACCCACTGGGAAGGTGACAGGAAGCAGAGCCTGCTGGAGGTGAGGGAGCGAGCCATGAGGACATTTGGGATCTGTCTTCATTTGTTTCTCTCCATTTTTTTTATTGTGGTAAAATATGCATACCATAAAATTTACCATCTCAGCCATTTTTTAGGTGTACTGTTCAGTGACATTAAAGCCATTCATATTGTCGTGCAACCATCACCACCGTCCATCTCTAGCACTGTTTTCTTCTTGCAAAACTGAGACACTGTGCGTGGTAAACAATAGCTGCCCGCCCTCCCCTCCCCCCAGCGCCGGGCGACCACCACTCTGCCGTCTGTCTCTATGAATTTGACTACACTCAGCACCTCACAGAAGTGGAATCACACAGTATTTGTCTTTTGTGACTGGCTTATTTCACTTAGCATAATGTCCTCAAGGTTCACGCATGTTGTAGCAGGTGTCGGAATGTCCTTCCTTTGGAAAGCTGAAAAATAGTTCGTTGTATGTGTAGACCACATTTTTCTTATCCATTTCACCATTGATGGACACTTGTGTTCCTCCCACGTTTTGGCTATTGTGAATGCTGCTGCTATGAGCATGGGTATACAGATATCTCTGAGAGACTCTGCTTTCAATTCTTTGTGTATTTCCCGGAAGTGGAATTGCTGGATCATATGGTGATTCCTTTTTAAATTTTTTTAAGGAAGCATTTTGGCTGCACCATTTTACGTTCCCACCAACAGTGTATAAGGACTCCAATTTCTCCACATTCTCACAAACACATATTCTTTTCTGGGGTTTTTTGATACTATCCATTTTATTGGGTGTGCGGCGGTCTGTGCCTTCATTTTAATTTTTTATAACAGGTTTATTGAGATATACTTCACATAGCATACAATTCACCCATTGAAAGTGCACAATTCAATGGCTTTAGTATATTCACTGACATGTACAAGCACCATCACAGTCAATTGTACATTTTCATCACCCCAAAAAGAAACCCTATATCTGTTAGCTATCACCCCCCCATGCCTCCAGTCCCCCAGCCCTAGGCAACTACTAATCTACTTTCTGTCTCTATAGATTTGCCTGTTCTGGACATTTCCCATAAATGGAATCATATAATACGTGGCCTTTTGTTCTGGCTTCTTGCACTTAGCACAATGCTTTCGAGGTTCGTCCATGTTGGAGCACGCACCAGTCCTCCATTCCTCTTTACGGTGTGGCCTTCATTTCGGTATTGAACTCTTGCACTTTTAGAGAGCACGAATTCCAGACCTTGCCCTCAGGCTACCAGTCCGTGGACTGACTGAAAAGAACGCTGTGAGAAGAGCAAGGCGGGGTGGTGCTGTGGCAAGTTCTAAATTTCCTCAGCTCTGCCCTTAGCAGCTGTGTGACCAAAGGCGAGTGACCTCACCTATGAGACACAGTTTCCTCCGCTGAAAGATGGGGGTAATTACAGTGTATCCTCATTCAATTTGTTGTGAAGATTAGCAATAATATGAGGAAGGGGCCCGGCACATAGTAGACACTCAATAAATTAGGGCTTTCCTGAGGAGCAGGGACCTTTGCAGACACCACACAGCAGGGGCAGTTCCCGCTGCCCTCCCTCCGTTAGCTCCAACTTTCATTCAGAAAGTCACCTCTGGATATGGCAGACCCAAATGTGGTGACAGGAAAGGCCCTCAATCTGAACATATGTTTCCTACTACTCAATATACGATCAAACAGAAATCTCCTTTCAACATCCCTCTCCTTTCCCCCAAACTCTCCTAAATTGCCAAATACCCAGTCCACCCTTCCCTCTTCTCTCAACATCTGAACCCGCCCAGTTACTCTCTGGCCTCAACTGTCCTGCCCCACTCTCCCCAACAAGAGCCCAGAACGCTCACCATCTGTTGTTCTTACCGTCAATCTTGAGACCAGATTCCCAAACCCAACCACCACCACCAAGACCACAGCAACAGTCTTCCAAGGTTTGGCAAGCATCTCTTGCCCAGGGCGAGGGAGATTCTACAGCAAACACCTATGGGCTTTGCTGTTTTATGCAGATCTCCTGGTCCACCCTGTCCATTTTTCAAAGGAGAAAGCAGGCCCGTCTAGCCGGTAAATTGCAGAGTTGGGCCAGGAACACAGATCCCCTGAGTTTTAATCCAAATGAAATTGCATTAGTGAGAAGAGCCTCGCAAAGGAAGATTTTGAATCCAAAGCTATTACTGGAATCTTGCAGCTAATCTATAGTACCAGGATTTTGCTGATGTGGTTACAACACATTCTCTACCAAGAATAAACCCACGTAATTAGTATGTCTGGCCTCTAGCCTGACATCCTTATAAATTTCCCCCAGGGGATTCCAGTCTGCAGCCAGGACTGAGAACCAGAGCTGTAGGTAAATTACCTGGAATAAAAATGTTGTTTATTTTTCTTGACAGTTTAAAAAATATTACCAAAACCAGCCACCAGTTATTGACCTTCCACTTTGTGCCAGGGATCTATTTAATGGCACACATGGTATTTAATCTCATTTAATCCTCACGGGAGCGCTCTACACAGGCCCTAATTGTCCCCATATAACAGAGGGGAAAGGTGGGCCTTGAGAGTATGGGCGACTTGCCCATGACCACACTGAGGGGAAGAGGCAGGACCCCAGTTCTGTCAGACCCCGAGGCCAATATTCTTAATAACGACAGTACGCTGAATGTTTATATTACTAATCATAGTTACCATGTATTGATCACTTATTATTATGAGCCAGGAACTATTCCAGTTCATTTCATCCTCGCAAAAAACCTACAGAGTGGTTACTAATATTAGTATTTCCACATTATTGCTACGCAAACTGAGTCACAGAGAGGTTGAGCAAACTGCACGAGGTTACACAGTTGGTAAATGGGAAGCGTAATCCAATCTGCTTCCATGAGCCTTCCAGAAGTTTGTAGATTTATCTAGGCCCTACAGAAGCATTCTGCATCTACATAACCACAAGAAGAATGCTGAACATTCAGATGAGAGAATGAAGCTAATGAGGTTGAAAGCATCCATTCATGTATGCTTAAATTTGGGATCTTGAACTTTTGGGGCAGACCATTTAAAAAAGGAAATGATCTTTTATTTTACTATTTAATTTCAGCAGAATAGTAGGGGATCTTTGAGCATTTCAGTAGAAGGCATGTCCTTCCTGGGCAGACTTTTGCAAATTTTAAATGCAAAGATACGTATGAAAGTCAGTGTTATGCAAACATGCCCGCTCCGTGGTGAGTCTTAAAAATGGAACTGATGAAAGTCACATCAGGGCATGAAGTCACTAGATTTCCTTTAATCAAATTTTTATTTCTTTGGCAGGTTAAAATGGAGAACGAACTAAGGTTTAAGGAGATATGAGAGAAAAATTAAAATGAAAGTGATACCATACATTACAGATATATTTCCTCTTAAGGAGTCATGGTATTAATCAAAGCAATCACTCCGTTTAGAACTATTCCTGAGGTGTAATCGTTCTCATTTTACAAGTAGGGAAAATGAAGCACAAAGCTTGCATGGCCCATCAAAAGTTCCAGAGTGGGCTGGTGGCACCAAGCATAAATTGATGCAGCATTCTGGGACGACGACACGGTGATCACTGTCTAAACTTGATGTATTCATGTCCTTTGACCTAGCAATTCCATTTCTAGGAATTTATCCTATAGAAATACTTCCATAAGTAAGTAAGAAGGTATCTACAAAAGTGTCTATGGCAAAAAGTGTCATAATACAAGCCAAATACCCATCCACAGTGATTGGCTAAAAAAAAAGTAGGATACTGATCTATCATCTTTATGGAATCATGAAAAACAATGAGAGAGATCTATCTATTTTGGCATGAAAAGATGGCAAGTGAAGGAAAAGCAAGTTACAGTACACTAGACATCACATACGGTTCCATGTTTATAAATATGCGTGTGAGTATATTTTGTATATGTGTGCATATTTATATATTGATAGATGGACAAAGGAACTCTATATGCTGACACCCTCAATAGTGGTTGTCTCTGGAAAATAAGTCACTGAAAATTTGACCTTTTTGGTTATATGATAGATTATGTTTGCTAGTCGCAAAGAGTCACAGCCAATGCCGGAATCCATCTCCTGGGCCACAGGCTAGATGTTCTCTGCACCTTGGGTGGCACACCTCCCTGTTCCCCATCGGTAGAGGGACAGGGAGTCGAGCAGGGAGAGAAGAACAGCCTCATCCTTCTCCACTGGCCCTGGCTTCTTGTTCTAGTGGAAATGTCTCCCAGAAACATGGAGAGAGATCCCGCAGCCTTTGGACTGGGGACCTAGCCTCCTTCAGCCCCAAACCTCCCCTCTTCCAGTGGCCTGTGGTCATTTCAGTGTTAGTGTGCAGGGTGGGAGGCATGGCCAGGCGTGCCCACTGTCCGGCCCTGGGACCCTGCTGGGATGACTTGCACTGGGCCAACATTCCCTGCTGGGCACACAGGTTAAAGCAACTGGACGACCTGGCATGAGATGGCATTTGGTTCCCCGGCATCAGGCAGCTCTGGCCTCTGGCCCTCCTGGCTGTGGGACCTGGTGAGAGTTATGTATCCTCCCAGCCGTGGTTTCCTCATCTGTACAATGGAGACAATATCCTCTCTCTGAGAGAGCAGGTGTGAGGACCACACGGAAGCGTAAGATGCTCAGTGCAGTGCCTGGCACATGGTGCGTGTTCAATAAATTACAGCTAGTCCTTAGTTCCAGATGTCCTTCTCTGCTCTAGGAATGAGGTTCCAGGGGCATCCTAAGGTCACAGCATGTGGTGTGGCCAAGATGAGGTGCCTATTGTGAGACTATCCTTAAAACCCAATCCTAATAGTTAAAATACTATATTTATAATCAGGAAGGAAGTTTTTCTGGTTTCCACCCCTACCCCAGGCTTTCATCTTTTCCCTCCAGAAGCAAATGCTGCTCTAAGAAACTCGTTATTATATTTAGGCGAAGGATGGCATTCACTACATTACAGTGTCCTCTTAATGAGAGAAAAATCAGCTCCAGGAATAAGTGGGCTTCCAAAAAACTTTTTTAACCCTGAGGACACAATAAACAATGTAATGATCCTATTTCCTTCATTGGTGTGGCTTCTAGGAAGCTCAGAGCCATATTTCTATTTACTGTAGGAACATTTTTGAGGTTATTATTCACAGTGCATAATGTACTAGGGAAGGGCCCCGTGTTTCCTGAACAACTGGCTTGTCTTTTTTCTTGTGGACACTGTGAATTATGTAACAGACACTATTTCCCTCTTTGCTTTGTCTCCAAGAAATCTCTAGCAAGCATAGGCCTTGGAGTAAGTATTTTGCTTACTGCACTTAGTGACTTTATTTTTTCCCTGCTCTTAATTCTTCCTTAACCCAATTACCACATTTACCTAAAAATGTTATGTTTTGTGTGTTTCTGTAAGCTACAACAAACCACCCTTGGAATGAGGTAGGGAATAAACAGGTAAGCAAAGAAAAGTAAACAATCTATTTCCTTTGACAGGTCATCCTCCCCCACCCCTTTCTTTAAAACATTAAGAAGATGTGAGAGAGTCATTAAGAGTATTCACACATATGTAAAGAATACACACAGAGGAGAAATGTAATCAGATGTCATATATATATATGAAATGCAAGCTGATGTCATAGACAATTTCTGTGGTTTCTTTCTTCCTCCTCATACTAGATATCCAAGTAAAATATGGATATTCTATTACAAAGCACATTTGAAAATAATTACCGACTATATGAAGCTAAAAATATGCTACTAATTGAGAAGGGATTTTTGCCCACATCCCAAAAATGACTCCGGCATCTTCTCTTGGATTATATTGGCTGCAATTCTTGTCACACACATTTTTAAATAATTCCTGCAACTGTCCCTGTGGCTAGAGACTCAAGACTAACTTCACACCATTTCTGTCCTAGAAGAAAAAACCCTGTTTGGGATGGCTTCTGACTCAGTGTAACAAGAGATGGGCTATAAATGGCCACGAATCTACCCCGACAGCTGGCGCTTCTCTCCCTCAGGCCTCCTGTCTGCGCCCAGGCTGCTCCAAGAAGTGAACTCGGCAACACGTATTCACTCTGCAAATACCAGAGCACGACACGGATAAAATGGCAGGCCCTCAGGGAATGTATCATGTTTGTTTGCTGATTTGTATGTGGATGAGTTCGTGGGCTTTTCAGATGAAGTTGAAAACCCATTTTTCTTTGCAACCCCTCTACTTCTTTTCTTTATTGCAAATTTAAAGGAAGACGAACACGTGTTTAACACTAATTTTCAAACTGCTTCATCAGAGGACTTTGGGGTCTGATTGCAGCGTCCCCTTGGCTCGGGGATTTCTTTTCTAAACCTCCCACTGCCCAGGCGGATAAGGTTTAAAACAGGAAGTAACTCTGCAGTGGATGAGCTTTACAAAGTGACGCAGCTCGGTGACACCAGAGGGTAATGGAAGCCGTGCTTCACCTGGCGGGCAGCAGCCTGTACCCTGTCCCTCAAAGGTCAGCCCCTCCTGAGGGGCTTCAGTCAACGCAAACACAAGCAGCAAGAGCCCGAAGCCCAGGCCATAAGAAATGGGACAAGTAGCGTGTCATGTTCAGGAGGACTCCTGAGAGGGTTGGCCTGATGGTGGAATCCAAGCGAGTGTCTTATGTCTCTGCGTCTCTCCTCAGCTATGTGTCAGAACACTGGGCAGAGAAACGGGACGCTGGGGCTCCAGCCCCAGGCCCTCCACTGGCTGTGTGACCTTGGGCAAGTCCCTTGACCTTCCTGGGCTTCTACTTTTTCATCTGTAAAATTAAGCCCACAAGTCCATCCACTGAATACATACAGACTGCCTGCTCTGAGCCAGGCCCTGTGCTGGGTTTGCGGGCATCACGATGGGTAGGACAAACATGGTCCCCACAGGGAACCCCATGGAGCTTAGAGTCTAGTGGAGGGGAGCAACACAAAATTGCTTAAAAGCACACAGATTTGTGTGTGTGTGTGTTTGAGGAAGACTGGCCCTGAGCTAACATCTGTGCCAATCCTCCTCCACTTTAGGTGGGACGCCGCCAGAGCATGGCTTGCTGAGTGGTCCACGCCCAGGATCCGAACCTGTGAACGCCGGGCCGGGGAAGTGAAGCGTGAGAACTTAACCGCTATGCCGGCCCCGCCCCAACACGGGTTTTTAATAATGACAGTACTAACATTTACGGGAACAGTGTGCCAGGACTTGCTCTAAAAGATCACCTCTTGTCATCCTTTAACTGTATGAGACAGGTACTATTATTAGAGTCCCATTTTGCACCTGGGGAACCTGCAGCTTAACGAAGTTAGCTAGGTCAGAGTCACCCAGATAAAAGTAACGGGATGCCATGAACAGGTCTGGCCAACTCCGCAACCTGGGCCTTCATCCACTGCACCGTACTTCCTTCTTCCCTGACCGCAGATCTGGGGACAGGGGTCAGAAGTGGCTTTACTACCCGAGGGCCGTTTTATCGCAGTCTCATCGTAAATGGGAAATTTACCCGGGAGTTTACGTTGTGGCGTTTCCTGAAGACCCTATCTTGTTTGGAAAACACGCTGGAGCCCCGGAAAGGTGGCAACGGACGCGGGCAGCAGGTGGTTGGGACAGAAATGCTTCCACCCTGCCCCTTGCTGCGGGCTGCACCTCTCCATTCAATCCTGGCTGCCCTCTCTGCTCATAGCCAGGCAAATCAGTCAGTCAACCAACAGCAAGTCGACTCAAAAGAAAAGGTAACGACAGAAATAGATAGGGATGCTGCACTCTCCCTGGCCTTTACACTGATTACAGCCCTGATTGGCCTCCAGCGGGGAGTGAAACGAAACAGCAGCTGCACAGGGAAGAGGGGCCTGTGCTGAGCCTGCTGGACACTCACAGCTCGAGCTGCTTCCTAACGAGCGATCCTGACACTGCCAGTGTGATGAGCTCCTGCTCTGCACCGGGCACTGTCTGTGTGCTGGCTCACCAAAGCCTCAGAACCCTGTCCACTCATTCACTCACTGACTCACTTATTCATTCAACCGATATTTATTTGGTGCTCATTTTGTGCCAGGCACTGAACTAGGACAAGGTCTTTGTCCTCATGGAGCTTACACTTTGGTGAGAAACATACATAAGTGCCAAGGACACAAATAACACACGTATGATCGTGCATCAGCAGGATGCCCAGGGCTCAGGACACGCGGGCCTAGAGGACTCCACATTTTAAAGAAGGCACAAAACAATTGGGGATCAGGCTTCTCCTTTGAGTCTCAACTCTGGAAGACCATTAGAATCAGGGAAACTTAACATTAACACAGATGCCCGGGGCCCATCCCAAAATAATCAAGTCCGAATCTCCGGAGGTGAGGCACTGGTATTTTTTTAACTTAAAAATTTGAAATAATATTGAATTTGCAGAAAAGTTGCAATAATCATCCAAAGCACTCTCAGAGTCCCCATTGTTTATACTTTACCACATTCACTTTTCATTTTCTCCCTGTATACATGTGTGTATATGTACATGTACACATGTGTGTTACACATTATTTTTTTCTGAATCATTTGAGATTAAGCTACATATGATATCCTTTGATCCCTAAAAACTTCAGCATGTATCTTAAGAATGAGGAGCTTTCTTACATAGCCCAAGAACTTGATCAAAATCAGGAAACTTAATAGTGTTCCATACTATCAGCCAATATAGAGCCCGTATTCAAGGTTTGCTAATTGTCTCGATAACGTCTTTTACAGAATTTTTTCTCCACCTAGGGTCCAGTCTAAGATCACACACTGCACTTAGCTGCCTTGTCTCTTTGGTCTCCTTTGATCTTGGTCTTTCTTGACATTGGCATTTTTGAAGAGTCCACATCAGTTATTTTGGAGCATGTCCCTCAAGCTGGGTTTGTCCGACATGTCCTCATGATGAGATTCAAGTTCTGCACTTTCGACAGGCACAGTGCATAAGCACATGTCACGTGTCCTCAGCGCATCACAGCAGGAGGCACATGATGTCAGTTTGTCCCATTGTTGATGATACTGATTTTGAACACTTGGCTGGGGTGGGTCTGCCAGGTTTCTCTGATACAAAGTTACTATTTTCCCCTTTGTGTTAAAGACTAATTTGTGGAGAGACATTTTGAGACTTAAATATCACATTCCTCATCAAACTTTCCCTCAGTGGTTTAGCCTCATATTGATCATTCTTGCCTGAGTCAGCTATGTCAGCTGTAATATGGTTACAGAATACTGCCTTTTAAATTTCATTACACCTTCCAAATGTATAAGGTGGCGTGCTAATTAAGGAAAAGCTTCCTCTTCTCCCTCACTTGTTTGTTTCTTTCTTTAATTTACTTTGTATCCATATGCACATTTGGATTTTATTTTAGTCAATGAGTTACAATTCATTACTGTCACTGTTAACTCTGACACTTAAATTGTCCTAGATTTGCCCAGTGAGTCTCCCCTCCGGGGGCGGGGGGGGGGGCTGTATTTTTCCCCTAGGTCCCCAACATTTTCTTGAGCCTTCTTTATCTTCTGGCATAAGATGTTCTAGGCTCATCTTCTCCTTTCCTGGCTTCAGCCCTAGAATCAGCCATTTCTCTAAAGAATCCTGATTCCATTAGAATGAGGGGTACTTAGAAACCAAGATCCGGGCACTAGGAATGCTCACTGCTTCTAGAATTTCCAGTCCATAGCTTTGGTATTTTTAGAAAGTTCCCGAGGTGATTCAAATGTGCAGCCAATATTGAGAACCACTGTTTATGAAGAAGGGAACCAACTGTCACCTAAATAGATGGCTGCAGGAAGGAAAGCAGGAGAAGAAATCATAGGCACTGTGGAGAAATGAACCAATGCAGTATGTTTCAACCATGGGCCATGAAATCAATTTACTGAGTCACATCCAGCATTAAAACAACAACAACAAACAACTAAATAGAATAGAAAATGCCAGAGGGTATTACACATAATAACAGAATTTTTTCTTAAAACTTTTGTTTTAGGTATATAAATCATCTGTATATTCATATGTACTAGATTGTGATATAAAACTATTTCTTATGGGGCACAGTCCAAAAAGATTGAGAAGTGCTGGCCCAGAGGCGAGTGCTGTACTTTTTTCTCCTCTCTTAGATAAGAGTGGGCGCTCACCCTGACCCAAGCCCTGAGGCAAGGGGGGAAGATCCAAGAGAAGCACTCAGAAAGACTGGGGGGTCTCCTCGCCTGGTTGGACACCTGCTTGGAGGGCAGTTTCCACAGCTCGTTCCCCTGTGCCCACACGAGCAGGTTCAGTATGACCTGGGGAGACATGCTGGGGCAGAGCAAGGAGGGCAGTGGAGAAGTCTGCATGTCCGCCATTGGTTGCCTGTGGGTCAAGGGGACGCTGAGAGGTAACTTGGACTATCTTTCCAATGCCCCACCCAACACGGCTGGCCTTTGGGTAAGGAGACACCCAAGAGCCAGGAGTGGACTGGAAGAGGTGGAATTTGGGGGGCGGGGTGGAAGAGGTGGCACCAGAGCCAGACCCCCCATAGGGGAGTTGTGCCACCTGTTGTCCCCCGTGAGGAAGAACTCAAATAACACGGGTGAGTCAGAGAGCCAGCACGGGGATGCCTGCTCCCGAGAATGGCCCAGCGGTCTCAGCCAGAGAGGTAGCAACAGCCGCGAGAGCATGGCGGCAGAAAGTAAAGAGATGGATGCGCCTCTGCGTCTCCCTCCTTCTCCCCTAACCCACTGAAGGAGAACGGGGCGGGGCACAGAGGAAGGAAGGGCGGGAGTGGGAAACATCAGACAGTTCTTTCCCCCACCCCCAACCCCACTGATGGAGGGCGGAGGCGGGTGGGTAAGCGTTAAGTTGGGTCTGAGATTGCGATTTTAAAGCAGACTGGGCTTCATGAAACTAGAACATACTGAGAAGACATGAAATCACCCACTAGGCCATGAAGGGGCTGACAGGGAGCATCGAGAGAGCAGGGTTAAAGAAAGTTTCTGGAGGGAAAAGAAGACTTTTGCTTAGACCCCACCATGTTGAAATTGGTCAATCGGGCAGCTGGGGAAGGCCCCTCTGAGGAGGTAACGCCCAGGCGTGGAGGACGAGAAGGAGCTGGGGAAGGGCGATTGGCAGGAAAGGAACAGATAAAGCAGAGTCCCCGAGGTGAGGAACACGCCGGCATGTGGCAAGAGCAGAAAAGAGACTGGAAAGCTGCAGCCTAGCGAAAGGGCGCAGGTACGGCATCGGGGGGTTGGTAAGAGGACCCACAGTATGCATGGCCTGCAGCCTGCTGAGGGAGAGAGGCTTTCTCATGGGTTTTCATAACTGTAAACTCGTGTGTGCTGATTTAAAAGATTCCCACAGCGTGCCTCCTCCCCTCTAGTCCGAATTCCTAAAGGTCGCGACCATGAAGGTATTCTTCCAGCACGTTTAGACAGCTCTGTGTTTCCATGTACGCATTTTTAACGTGGATGAAAACTTAAGGTTTGGCAATTTTTTCCACTTGATAATATATCACAAATCTCCTTCCACGCTGTTGGTTATATAAATGGTGCTAAGTCCGCACCACACAGCCGTTAAACCTCACGATGCCGCTCTAGTGGTTGACCGGAATGACATTCTGAGTGCGTTCAGTGACAAGGTAGATTATAGGACAGAATGTACAGATGTATGTGTAACAGAATGTAAAATCTCATTTTTAATAAAATATCAATATATATATATTTGCATCTCTTTGTACTGGAAAATGTATAGCACGATGTGCACCAAAATATTAACAGTGGTGGGACTTCTGGGGTTTTCCCCCTTTTTTGGCTATTGTTTTTCTAATTTTCCTACTGTGAATATGTAGTAAATTAGTCTAAAAATAAGAGGAAAATAAATAGGACAAAATGGTGACACTTGCACATGACAGGTGGTGGGTGCTTGTTTCCTTGTCCTGCGATGTGTGTGTGGGTGTGTTTTTAAGACTGGCCCTGTGCTTACACGTTATCAATCTTCCTTTTTTTTTTCTTTTTTCTTCTTCTCCCCAAAGCCCCCCAGTACATAGTTGTATATTCTAGTTGTAGGTCCTTCTGGCTCTGCTGTGTGGGACGCTGCCTCAGCATGGCCTGATGAGCAAAGCTAGGTCTGCTCCCAGGATCTGAACCAGCAAAATCCCAGGCCGCCGAATCAGAGTGCGCGAACTTAACCACTTGGCCATGGGGCCAGCCCCTGTGTGTGTGTTTTTTGTCTCGCAAAAAGGGGCAGGACAAGCATAAAACCCCATTTCACTTCAGACACACAATCAACAACTTAGAAGAATAACTCCCCATCACATTGATAGACACCCTGTTTCCAAAATGATGGGTTATTCTTGATGTCTTGTAGCTTAAACAAAAGACACCTGCAGACACAAGATGACTCTGAATTTGTCCCTGAGTGAGGGACATGGCCTTGTAAATCATATCACATCACCGCTGTCATTCCAGAGCAGCGTCTTAATACGCAGTCACTTCCCTCATGCACAGTTGAGTTCCCTGCAGACACAAAGACCCTCTAAAACCTCAGAGGGTGTCCTTCTTGAGCCTCAGCTGAAATCAGGCTTTTTCTGATTAAACTAATGACTATGAATCAAGCAACTGACCTTTCTGTTCTTGTTTGGCCCAGAAAATTCGGACTCGCTGGTGAATGTGCTTGTTTTCACGTAGTTTCTTCTGCCACTGACGCAGTTCTTGAATCTCAGGATCACAGCGAACCTGGAAAATCCCCACAAAGCTTAGTTCCCTTTCCACATACTTCTATATAGCTTGTTAACCCTGCATGGAAAACCCTTTACAAACCAGTTGGATGTACTTTTCATTGTAAATGAATCATTGATCTAAACGAATTAGCTTTACTCCTACAGCTTATAGAACGTTTGAGCATAAATGAGGTCATGGGAAGATTTGCTAAACTAAGGGTAGGTTGAGAACATTCTAGATCTGTGCTGTCCAATAGAAATATAATGTAGCCACATGTGTAATTTTAAATCTCCTTGCAGTCTCGTTTTAAAAAGTAAAATGGTGAGTTTTTTTTTTTTTATTCCTGAGGAAGATTCACCCTGAACTAACATCTGTGCCAAACTTCCTCTGTTTTTCACGTGGGTCGTCACCACAGCATGGCTGACAAGTGGTGTAGGTCCACACCCAGGATCTGAACCTGCGAACCCAGGCTGCCAAGTGGAGCATGCTGAACTTAACCACTAGGCCACAGGGCTGGCCCCTGGTGAGGTTATTATTATTTTTTTTATGTCTGTTTTTTTTTATTAAGGTTATGAAAGTTAACATCTTTGTGATATTACAGTTGTACATCATTATTAATCATGTTGTAGGTACACCACTTCACCCCTAGTGCCCTCCCCCCACCCCCCTTTCCCCTGGCAACCACCGATCAGTTCTCTTTGTCCATATGTTAACTACCACCTATGAGTGGAGTCATACAGAGTTCATCTTTCTCTGTCTGGCTTATTTCACTCAACATAATACCCTCAAGGTCTATCCATGTTGTTGTGAATGGGACGACTTTGTCCTTTTTTATGGCTGAGTAGTATTCCATTGTGTATATATATATATATATATATATATATTTATATATATACATACCACATCTTCTTTATCCAATCATCAGTTACTGGGCACTTAGGTTGGTTTCATGACTTGGCTATTGTGAATAATGCTGCGATGAACATACGGGTGCATGGAACTTTTGGAATTGCTGATTTCAGGTTTTTAGGATAGATACCCAGTAGTGGGATGGCTGGGTCATAAGGTATTTCTACTCTTAACTTTTTGAGGAATCTCCATACTGTTTTCCATAGTGGCTGCACCAGTTTGCATTCCCACCAACAGTGTATGAGGGTTCCCTTTTCTCCACAGCCTCTCCAACATTTGTCACTCTTGGTTTTGGATATTTTTGCCATTCTAACAGGTGTAAGGTGATATCTTAGTGTAGTTTTGATTTGCATTTCCCTGATGATTAGTGATGATGAGCATCTTTTCATGTATCTATTGGCCATCCGTATATCTTCTTTGGAGAAATGTCTGTTCATGTCCCCTGCCCATTTTGTAATTGGGTTGTTTGATTTTTTATTGTTGAGTTGTGTGAGTTCTTTGTATATTATGGAGATTAACCCTTTGTTGGATAATAACTTGTGAATATTTTTTCCAATTAGTGGGCTGGTTTTTTGTTTCAATCCTGTTTTCCCTTGCCTTGAAGAAGCTCTTTAGTCTGATGAAGTCCCATTTGTTTATTCTTTCTATTGTTTCCCTCATGTGAGGGGTTATGGTGTCTGAAAAGATTCTTTTGAAGCTGATGTCAAAGAGTGTACTGCCTATATTCTCTTCCAAAAGACTTATTGTTTCAGGCCTAATCTTTAGTTCTTTGATCCATTTTGAGTTTATTTTAGTAAATAGTGAAAAAGAATGGTTGATTTTCATTCTTTTACATGTGGCTGTCCAGTTTTCCCAGCACCATTTGTTGAAGAGACTTTCTTTCCTCCATTGTAGGCCCTCTGCTCCTTTGTCGAAGATTAGCTGTCCACAGATGTGTGGTTTTATTTCTGGGCTTTCAATTCTGTTCCATTGATCTGTGCACCTGTTTTTGTACCAATACCATGCTGTTTTGATTACTGTAGCTTTGTAGTATGTTTTGAAGTCAGGGATTATGATGCCTCCGGCTTTGTTTTTCTTACTCAGGATTGCTTTAGCAATCCGGGGTCTTTTGTTGCCCCATATGAATTTTAGGATTCTTTGTTCAATTTCTGTAAGGAATGACATTGGAATTCTGATTGGGATAGCGTTGAATCTGTAGATTGCTTTAGGTAGTATGGACATTTTAACTATGTTAATTCTTCCAATCCATGTGCATGGAATGTCTTTCCATCTTTTTATGTCGTCGTCGATTTCTTTCAAGAAGGTCTTGTAGTTTTCGTTGTATAGATCTTTCACTTCCTTGGTTAAATTTATCCCAAGGTATTTTATTCTTTTTGTTTTGATCGTGAATGGGATTGAGTTCTTGAGATCTTTTTCTGTTAGTTCATTGTTAGCATATAGAAGTGCTACTGATTTATGTATGTTGATTTTATATCCTGCAACTTTGCTGTAGTTGTTGATTGTCTCTAATAGTTCCTGGTGAGGTTATTTTTAAGAATACGTTTTATTTAACCTGACAGATCCAAAATAATATCATTCCAACATGTAATCAATATAAAAATATCATTTATGAGCCATTTTGCTTTCTGTTTTCCACACTAAGTCTTCGGCATCTGGTGTGTATTTTACGCTTACAGCACATCTCAGTTCGGACCAGATGCATTTCAAGTGCTCAATAGTCACAAACAGCTGGGGGCTACTGTACTGGACAGCACACGTCCAGATTAATCACAGCTAATGTATTAACCACAGTCCCGTTTAACACCAACTGACTGAGTGCCCACTGCTTACTGAGCTTTGTGCTAGACATTGGGAATAAAGAGATTATTAATGATAACTTTAATTCTTTGTATTAGTTTTATTTTAGTATCACCATAGCTCATATTTATTGAGCACTCACGTCCCAGGCAGAGTTTAAGTGTTTTACAAATTTTAACCATCCCATGAGGCAAGAATGATTATCCCCATTTTACAGACGAGGAAACTGAGTTTAAGCAGCTTGCTGAGTCACCAAGCCAAGAGATGACGGAGCTGGGATTCAAACGTAGGCAGACTGTTCCAGCTGCCCTGGACTTAGGGACTCAGAGCCCAGCAGGAGATGGAGTCTACAGGACGAAGGTCAATATAATGCGGTAAGAGTAAGGCTATCGGTGAGGACAAGGGAACCCTGAGGGGGCACTGGACGCAGCCTGGAGGGTCAGAACATCCCATGGAGGAGATGCCCTCTGGGTGGGTTTTGAAGGATGAACTGGAGTTAGCTGTGGGGAGAAGGCCGTGGAGTGTGATGGCGTTCCCGGAGAGACACCGGCCTGTGCAAAGGCGCAGGGGGTGAGACGTCCTGGGGGATGGGAACTCCAAGGTGAGAGGGCAGCAGAGGCACAGCAAAACCACAGCCGCGCACACCCTTCCCCTCCTGCTTCTTCTTCCTACTCCTCCACTGGCCGGAGGGGCGCTCCCCCCAGGGTAGATTCCAAGACAGGAAATGAGTGGCTTTATATATGTGGATGTGTGTCAACTTTATTTTCAAAGATAAGTTAAAGCCCCAAAAGAATGCTGTGAGACACCTTGAGAAACATGTCCCCATGATATGGCTTCCTGACTCAGCTCTTAAGATGAACAAGTAATCATCGCCACCTTGGGGGGTTCCTTGTTGAATGGGCTCTGTTCATTTAAAGCATTAAAGCTTTATATCCTAGGGGAAGAGTTGCCTCTACTGCAATTGGCAAGTGGAACTGGGAGGTCTCACACCGCATGCCAAGACCAGGGAATCCCTTTGGAGGCAGTGGCCTTCTCCTGTCTATGCAGGGACCCTGGGTGCCCAAAGGCGCAGCCTGCCTGCTCCTCTCCTCTTCCTGAAGCCACAGCTCAGACCAGCTGGGCTCACAGTCAGGAGCTGGTCTAGAGGGGCCGGCTACTCCCCAGTTCTGCTCATCGTGGTGATGCCACAAAACCAGGGCCCAACCTCCTGCTTTTTTAGACCACTGTTGGGTATTAAGACTTCCTACTCTGGTCATTGGGATCCAGGCTTCCTACTGTGATCCTGCAATTCTTTGAGTTTCCACGTTTTATCGTCATCCACACATCCACCAGCCAGCCCTGGTGGTCTAGTGGTTAAGATTCCGCGCTCTCACAGCCACAGCCTGGGTTCATTTCCCAGTCTGGGAACCATACCACCCGTCTGTCGGTTGTATACTGTGGCAGCTGCATGTTGCTGTGATACTCAAAGCTGTGCCACCTGTATTTCAAATACCACCAGGGTCACCCATGGTGGACAGGTTTAGTGGAGCTTCCAGACTAAGACAGACCAGGAATAAGGACCTGGCCACCCACTTCCGAAAAAACTGGCCATGAAAACCGTATGAGTAGCAGTGAAACATTGTCTGATGTAGCGCCAGAAGGTGCGAGGATGGCGCAAAAAGACCGGGCAGGGTTCCGCTCTGCTGTACACAGGGTCAATCAACTCAACAGCACTAACAACAGAAACACATCTACCCCGCAGGACACACAGTCCCAAAAAGGGCTAGACTGAGTCGGGTTTCACCATCACCCACCTCACGGCCCCAGAACTATCATTCCCTTCTCCCCCACCCGCCCCCCTCAATAGGGAATCTATCTCTTCCTTCTCTCTTAGCAATTGGACTTGAGGAATCTTGTTGCCCTTCCCTCCCACCGGATTTTCATCAGAGTCACCAGTAACCCCAATATTTTTAAAAATTCTGGTAAAATACATGTAACATAAAATTTACCATTTTAACCATTTTAAAGTGTACGATTCAGTGGCATTAAGTACATTCACGATGTTGTGCAACCGTCACCATTATCTAGTTCCAGAAGATTTTCATCACCCCAAAATGAAACTCCACATGCATTGAGCAGTCGGCCACTCCCCCTTCTCCCCTCCCCCCAGCCCGTGGCATCCACCAGTGTCCATAGTCTCTTCTGTCGTTAGATCCGTTGTCTCTATGGATTTGCCCATTCTGGATATTTCATACAAAGGGAATCATATAATACATGGCCTTTTGGGTCTGTCTCCTTTCACTCAGCATATAATACTTCCGAGGTTCAGC